GGCTTATTTTGAGGGTAGGGCTTATATTGGGTGCATGTGTAAAAAAAGCTAGGACTTACTTTCAGGGTAGGTCATATTTTCAGGGAAACTGGGTAGTTTTTTGGGGGGGGATGCAGATGGTCTTGTCCTGCATCTATCCCTCTCTTCTGTCTTCCAGACGTCGTCCTTCAGCAGCATCACCGACTCCATGTCGCTGAACATCATCACCGTCACTTTGAACATTGGTAAAGACCTGCGTGGGCCAAAAAGAAGAGAGGGGGTGGAAACTGGTCCTAACATTGCAAAAGTTGAAAAAAAAAAAATCTTCTGACCCAGCTCCCCAAACATGGCAAACCCTCTGACATGAACTCAAAAGATTCATTTTTTAGGAATGCCAGCAGCCCCGGCAAAAAGTTTCTCTCCCAGGCTAATAAGTCCAGAAGATAAATAGAGCTAGAGTGGGGCTTCGCAGTGGCTCTTCTGTCCCGAGGACCGGCCCATAGATTTCCACTGCTCTCCTCTCCTCTGCCTTCTGCACGTCAGGCACTGGACCCAGCTGTTCCTCCTCTTCTGCATCAGCCACCTCCAGACTTGGGGGCTGTTGACTCTCCATCGGAGGGCTGATGGACGGCTCAGGCTCCGCCTCTCTCTCTCTCTCTGCCAGTTCTATTCCCTCTCCCCCCTTGGAGCTCCCAGGTTGCCCTGATGCTGACTCTCACTCCGCCTCCTCTGATTCTCCCACTTCGTCTCCTCCATCTCCTCTGATTCAGTTTTTGGAGGGGCCGGCGGCCAACAGTCTACAACAAAGGCCCCCAAAGGGTGAAGGGATCGTCATCGACGTTGGGCGGCCACCCTCCGTGGCCTTAGAGTGGGCGGGAGACTGATTTTGAACGTGGCAGAGATATAAAGCATCTTGTTTGCCTCTTCACTTCCTTGGAAAACCCACCAAGATCATTTTTTAAAAAATAAATAAATCCCTTTTTGGGAAAGAGGACAAGCTGCTCCTATCCACTCTGCCCACTCATTTCAAGCGGGGGGGGGGGGGGGGGGATTGAACAGACCTAGATCCTTTAGAAGAGGAGGTGTTTGCATCTCTCATGGGGTGGCCTCAGAGTCAGGCTGACAAACCCACCCCTCGCAAATATGCCCCCGCTGAGGCACTTCCTGTAACTGAACCTATTATTTATGATTTATTTATATTTATACAGTATTAAGCAATTTTATATAACTTACACATTGCTGACAACTCTAGGCCACTTACAACACTGAAGGAATGTAAAGCTCCATTATCAATAAAGGGGAATATTATTTGCAGCTTGGGGTTGAGATGATAGGTAGGTAGATAGCTATAGAGGTAGATACAGGTGGATAGATGTAGAGAGAGATAGGTAGACAGCTGGACAGATGGATAGAGGATGGATGGAGAAAGAGGTAGAGATAGGTAGATGGACAAATGGATGGAGATAGATACTTCTAAGAGATAGTAGATGATAAATAGATGGATGGATGGAGAGATGGATGGAGATATACATGAATGAATGGAGGGAGATGGATGGAGAGATAGGTAGCCGATGGATGGATGGAGAGATTGAGGTAGAGGATGGATTGATAAAGGTAGAAATAGGTAGATGGACATATGGATGAGAGACTTCTTTCTTAGAGATAGATGATAAATAGATGATGGATGGAGAGCGATTGCTGGATGGAGATATAGATAGATGATGAATGGATGGAGGGAGATGGATGGAGAGATAGGTAGAGAATAGATGGATGATGGATGGATAGAGATAGCAGACATTATATTCCGATTAAAATCGGAATTCCGATTTTTTGGGGAATCGCCCGGGCAGAGGTAAAAATAGGTAGAGGGACATATGGATAGAGATAGATACTTCTTTCATCTTAGAGATAGTAGATGATAAATAGATGTATGTAGAGAGAGATTGCTGTATGGAGATATACACTGCTCAAAAAAATAAAGGGAACACTTAAACAACACAATGTAACTCCAAGTCAATCACACTTCTGTGAAATCAAACTGTCCACTTAGGTAGCAACATTGATTGACAATCACTTTCACATGCTGTTGTGCAAATGGAATAGACAAGAGGTGGAAAGCATAGGCAGTTAGCAAGACATCCCCAATAAAGGAGTGGTCTGTGGTCACCACCTGCAGAACCACTCCTTTATTGGGG